CAACGGTACGAAATCAAGCAATACTTAAAAAACAAGTCTGTTATTCTACATTTTGCAGTTTCATAGAGCCGATTCGCTCCACGCACTGCATTTTATTCTGTACGTAACTGGCGCTCTCCAGTGCCCACAGCTGTGCGGCGAGGGTTTCCTGAAATTTCCAGCTTGCTGCTGTCTATGAAGTCCTCCGAAGGCCACAATCTGCTGCAGCTTGCGGCATCGGCTGACCCCCCAATTGCTGCAGTTATGGGCCCCAGGGGGCGCATGGATTGTTTGCGCTGGCCCCCGGGGCTTGCTGGTCGCTTGAAGTGCACCCCTGCAGCCTTGCAACGGGAGGCCACTCTTTGCTGCTGTTCTTTTCTGGGTTTTGTGGGGCATGTCTGCTGCTGCACTGCACATTATCGGAGAGTCTGCGGTAACAGCACGCCAAGGGGAGGGTGACCTGCTGCTGCTCGTTTTGCTCCTGCGGCTGCTGCATCTGGGCCGTGGATGTGTCTGTTAGGAAAAGACCACTCTTAATTCTCCGCGGCTGATGCCTGCAGGTGACTGGGCTGAGCAGCAGGTCTTCCTGCAGTTTGCTGCAGCTGGTTCTGCGTTTTCTGCTGCTGCTGCCGCTGCTTTTGCTGCTGCAGTTGCTGCAGTTGCTATCCCTGTTCGAAAGTAAACTGCTCCGGCGTTGGGCAAGAGGAGTTGCTGCTGCCTTCCCCAGTGCATGCTGTCGGCTTAGAACCTTCCATACACTCAAGCCGCCGCAGCAGCTGCTGCTGTTGCTGCTGCGCCTGTGGCTGCCCCTGCTGCTGTTGTTTTGAGACTGTAGATCATTGACATCACTTTCGATATCATCAAATGACCATACGTCAGCATTGCACCCTTCCCCTGCGTCTGCGGCTGCATCTGCTGTTGCTGCGGCTGCTGCATCTGCTGTTGCTGCGGCTGCTGCATCTGCTGTTGCTGCGGCTGCTGCTTCTGCCTCCGCAGTGGCAGTCTCCTGCAATAAATTGGGGGAACCAGGAGAGGGAAAACAGGAGGCAGCAGCTGCGACGTCCTCTTTGGCAGTGTCAAAATCGGCTTCCTGCTGCGCTGCTGCTATTGCTGCTGCGGCGGCGGTGGTGGGAGGCCACTCTCGCGATGCGAAGTCATTGGATGCCTCCACTTCTGAAGCTGCAGCGGCAGCAGTGGCTGCTGCTGCTGCTACAGCTGCACTTGTGTTCCCTACAGCGCACAATGTTGCTTCCCGTACAAATGCTGCCGCGGCTGTTGCTGCTGCTGCCGTCCCCGCTGTAGGTGCAGCAGCTGCGGGTACCACGGCCTCACTTACCCTCAGAGTTTGTTCATCAGAATGGAAATAAAAGGGCTCTATTCCCGTTTCTCGAAGCAGGGGCTGCGTCGGGGGCAGTGTTGATCCTAAAGGGGAGCCAAAGGCTTGTGCTGCAGCAGCCTGAGTGGACTCAGCAGCAGGTGCTGCTGTTGCACCGGAATGTGCAGCAGAAACACTTGCAGCAGCAATGGCAATGGCCCGGCTAGCTTCTACATTGGTGCAAGATAGCAGCAGCAACAACGCCGCCACATGGTGGCAAATGCCAAAAGACCTGTGCAGCCCGCAGCAGCAGCCATGCTGCAAGGCTTGCTGCTGCGGGCTTTGCTGCTGATGCGGCAGAAAACGAAGGTAAACTGCATGCAGGTGGCTTCCCTCCGAAGCACTTGGAATGCAAGATCCTACCTCCACCGCTGCCTCTCGCACAACTGTAAACAAATGTATTACTCGGAAACTCAAAGAACCTTTAGAAGTTCCTGCACAAGTTCTTGCTGGGGATTCTTCGGCAATTTTTCTAGATGCCTTCTCAAGGAAAGCCTCAAGATGGCCTTCAAGCGGAACCCATTCAGCACGCAAGTTTGCGGCTATCTTTTTGCCCTCCCTTTCTAAAGCGGGCCAGGCCCGATACGGCTGACAGTCAGATTGTGCTGCTGTTTCTGCTGCTGCTGCAGCAGCAGAATTGCCATCCACGGGAGAAGTTGGCGGCTGGAGCCTTACTGATACTGCACGAAGAGCAGCTGCAACCGCACTTTCATATGCTGGACATGTTGCCAGCGAGTTCAGTTTCTTTTGTTCTTTCTTGCTGTCTAGCTCACTCTGTGGACCTCCCCTTGTAGGCAAATACATTACAACTTCAACCTCTGACGAGTAGTGGCACGAAGAGCCGCTGTCTCCAGTTGCTATCAATCTCAAAGGTTTGGCATTCCGTTTGCATCAGGAAGAGGAAGCAGTGCAGGACAGAAGCAATGAAACTGAATGCTGCTGCAGTCGCTGCTGCCGCTGCCGCCGCAGATCAAGTTAAATCCTTACGCGCTCGGCGACGCCCAAGGGACGATTGGGAAACCCCCTGAGTAGCTCACTATGCATGAAACGCTAGTTCATGCAAGGAGAAGAAGTAAATGAATGATTTTTCTCCTAGATGTCCGCGCCTGTTGTTGGACTCACCAACGCCCTTTTGCTCTTCCCGTTGAACCACCAAGGCGACTGGTCTCCTTTTCCCTAACGCATTGAAGAGCCGAGATGATTAATCATGAGCTGAGTTCAAGTACTATAAACCCCACATCTGAAAAGGAAAAATAACTGGACGAAATATACACCGTCACATGTTCCACGCGTTGTCAAACCTCCAAAACAGCCACTGCGGAAAGGGGGAAGGAAACGGAGAACTGAGGCATTAAGCGCATTTATTAAATTAAAACATTTAAATTTTATTGCCGTGTGCGCAGAAATCCTGCAGAAGAGAGCATTTCAGGCCTGCCGTGGCTAGGATGGGGCCCCCCAACAGGGGTCACGAGTTCCTCAGTGAGCCTCACTGTGTCATCGACACCGCACAACGAAAGAGCCTCTAACTAGATTCTATATTGAAGAAATAATGTACTTCTAAAGAAGAGCAAATAGTTACGAATTTTAGAGGTAGAATTTGGGACAGCGTCGTTCGGGGAATTTCGGAGCAGCTTTGCGCGTATGCCCGTTGGACTTGTCAGGAAAGGACCTCGACCGAAAGACCGTATTTGGATATTTGGTATTCACATTGAAGCACGCCTGTTGTTCCAGCTCTACTCCTGTTGTATGGCGCCCCTCAACCTCAGCGCTTAGTAGTCCCCAACTACCTCACTACAACTTGAATACTCTTTACGTGTAACCGTAGAGAATCTCTCCAGCATGATGTGCGTTCCTGTAGTGTTAACTTATGCTAAGCCCCCTTGTGCGCAGCCTCTGCGGCTCGCCTCATTGACTAATTCATAGCCTCGCCTAAACCTGTAGACCGCAGCGTACAGAGCGCCCCGCATCACGGTTTGCTCAAAGGAATAAAAAAGGGGTATTATGCATTTGAGTTCGGCGCGGCAAACCTGCACGCAGAAACAAGACTTGGGAAACCCCAGGCCCCCAGGAGGCCAAATACCATTAATGAAAAGCCCCACTGCGGCTGTTACGCAGCAGTGGTTCGTTTGCATGCATGTGGATGGCTTTTACATGTCCCATGCATGCTGCTTCACTTCAGTTGTGTGCTTCCAAGCCACGCAGCCCTACAAACAAATCAGGAGCTGCGAACAGCCTTTCGCGTTTCTCTGCATGCATTCACATGTTTTAACTTCCGATGCTGGACGTTTCAATTCACAGTTAAACACCGTCACCACTACCGACCACCGACTCCAAACATCACAGCTTGCCGAGCAAATGGCAAGCCAAACCGTGACTACTTCAAACGCAGAATAAAACAGGCAGTTCTCCAACAAAACAACACTCTAAAATTCAAACTGTAAGCATGTACTAATCCAGCAAATACGATACCTCCGCTGCACCACCACCGCTTTCTCTCCGCACGATGATGTCAAAGACACATCGTGCGGCCACACCCAACTTTTGCAAGTACAAAAGACAATTACTTTGAGAAATTCAACAAAATGGTCGCCAGCTTTTCGCCACAAATCGACATCACGGGCGCCATCATGGTATCTGTACACCTGGGCAGAGCTCATCACCCCCAAAGGGACAGTGACCCATCCTCATCAGCTAATTTATATCTTTGCATGATTGAATTTGTTTCTTCTCCACGCCTTCTCCCCTCGTCTGCAGCCACACCCACTGGGCCAGCAGCCGCTCCCTGAAGCTGAACTCCACCGGGACTTAGCAAAAGTCAATTAAGGCTTCGCCGAAAATTACTTTTAAATTCCGTTGACCTCCGCACAAATGCAGAGATTTGAAATCCATGAATGTCCGCCGAGAACTGATGGCCATTTTCGAGATTCCATCTTCCACAATCTCGCCAATCCAGATCCACTCATCTTTTCAATTTCCAATCTTTCAAGCAATTAGGCAGAAGGGAGAAGCCGTTCGAGAAGCAACGAAGCCGCTCCCTTCTTTCTGCCTCACCTCCCCACAGAGGAGGAGCACAACAAAAAGACATGCACCAAGAGGCCCAATAAGGCTAACAATGTGGGGTTCTCCGTTCAGTGAGATCCGCATTCTAATATGACAACCATCACAAGAATAAGCGAGATTTACATGAACAGGGGCTCAGCTGTCCAACCACCCGTTCTGTCTCTCTGTCTTCCCAGCCTTTACATCATTGTTATAAAACCACCGGGGGAGCGAACCCTGACCCTCCTCTCCCCCATAATCCTCCATCGCTAAAGATTAAGATGCAAAGTAAAGCACACTTAGGGAAAACGAACAAACGGAAACGGACGCTGCACGCCTTGGTGAGCGTCCCCAGGTCCCGACATCGCAGACCAGCAAACCGTTAACATCGAGGCCACTAAAGCGAAAAAAAAGGAAACAAAGTGAGAAGTAATTCACTATAAAGAAATTTAAAGGATAAGACAAGAGCAAACTATACTTCTTCTTCTTGAAATAAAGATATGCATACGGTCCCAGATGGGCCACTAATTAAATAACATACAACAATGAAAACTTGGACTAAAACAAGAACTCCCGACACATCATTCGGATATGGCATGGCAACAGGTCAGTCCAAACCATCAGCTGTCGCAAGACGGTCCAAATCCACAACCGCATGCTGCTGCTGCTGCTGCTGCTGCTGTGGCTGCTGCTGCAGATGTTCGAATCCTGGTGGAGGTTCTGTGTAGTAGTGAGGCTTTCCAGTCATGTCCGCCAAGCACAGCCTCGTAAGGCTTTCCTCCAGCTGCCTTAGGTTATCTTGTTCAGCAGTAAGACCCCCTGTGTTGCTGCAGACGGAAGCCCCCGCAGAAATTGCATTGGTGTCTTCCTGCTGTTCGCATGGTCCCACGAGGAGGCCCCCGGTATCCCCTGCGATGGCCCTCAGCAGCAGCAACTGGCTGACGTCCCACTTGAAGTCGCCGGTGCTGCTGCTGCTGTTCAGTGTCTTTGTAGGCGTTGCTGCACAGGAGGGGGACCCCAGCTGAAACATATCCGATGCCGAAGCACGCAAGGGCCCCCCGCAGGAACTGAAGCTGCTGCTCGAAGGTCTCAAAGCATCGGAAATGCCTCTGGAGGAGAAGGAGGAGAAGTCCGAAAGCTCATCCGTGGCTGTGGTGCTGTCGTCTTGATAATTAGCTCCAACTCCCCCCGAGCTGCAGCTGCCTTCCCTCCTGCTGGTGCCTTTGAACAGTTCTTCATACAAGACAGCGAGCGCGGCGTTGACGGACGCGCAGCTGCTGCTCCTGGGCTGCTGCTGCTGCTGCTGCTGCCTGCTGCTGGAGCCGTTGCGGGAGGAGCGATGAAATCCCGGCCCACGGTGGCTACCTGTTCCTGTCTCCTTCCAACCCGGCAGAGAGAATGTGCTGCCCCCTCCCCCGCTGGCTGCTGCGGGGGCTGCTATTTGGCTGTGCTGTTTCCGGCGGCGCGTGAGAGTGGCTTCGCTCTCCCGGGCGAAGTCGCGAGAGCCGCTAGCCATTGCAAGCGATCTGTAGTACTTCAGCTCTTGGTACCCGTGGGCGTGGTTGCACTGGGCTTCTTTCTGCGCGCGCATGCACAAGACAAGCCCCGCGCACTTGCACATGAACAGCAGCCCGAAACCAACAACAGCTGTGGGGAAAGCCAATTCCGCACACTTTTAATTCTACACACCAACCATTAAAACTGCCTCATATCACTGTGCTCAGGGACAGCCACGCAGCGCGGGTATGTTCATCTATGAACACTTCTTCTGCACGGCTCTCCCGACGCAAACCCCAAACACGAAAAGACACCTCGATGTTTCAAAAATTTGGCCCAGCCCCAAAAAATGCCCAACTGTTCGAAACGGCAAAAAAAATAAACATGAAATTGGAGACTCACCTTGCATTTTCCACGAATCCATTTTAGACACATGTTGGTTTTGAACATGTTGGAGGTGTGTCGGATCTCTGCTTTGCTGTGGGCGAATCTGCAGTTCTCGCCTTTGGCTTTGGCGGAGCACGGAGTCCCCGGGTGGATTACTGAAGGGCATAGTTTCGTCTTGTCAAGGTTGGGAGCAGGCCGCAGCTCTTCTATAGAGTGGGCGAAATTGCAGCGCGAACCCAAGTGGCAAGAACCAAGACTAAGACGCGGGCAAATGCGGGTCTTGTGGAATATAGTCTTTCGATTAGCAAGAATGACACCCTTCATTGGGACACCCGTGACGCGCAAAGGCGTTTGCACAATAGCAGAGGAAGGTCGAGATGCTGTTTGCACCTCTTGCCACATTTGGGACTCCATCTCTGAATACTTACCGCGCGTGATCGTCTAAAAAACCAGAAACCAGCAGATCAAATAACAAATACTGCCGCTTTGTGATCAATATTTCCAAGCTGGTCCCAACTGAGGGCCAGAAATGGCGCCGAAATCCCGCGGGCGGTGCGGTGGGAAGCCTGGCGCTCTGCTGCAAGTTGGTTCGGAGCAGCAGAGCAAACAAGGAAAATTATGTCAAAGAAGCTTTAAAAGAAAAGTGCAAACAAGGCCGAAGAAAACCAAGGAAGGAGAAATAGTTGAAAACGGCAACTACCCCGCGAAGTGGACTACCCGCAACACGGCAGAAACGGAACGTTGCACGTACACCCAACTAAAAGGAGGGCAAACAAAATACCTCGGTGAAGGGGGCCTATTTATTGCGATTATATTTCAAAACCCAAGCGACATTGGCAACAGAAAAGCCGGACAGCAGCAACCGATCAAATGGGCAGGCAAGCAACGCGCCAACGAAAGACCCATGCATTTCCAATCGTTCAAACACGGGAAACACACAGGACTCGTGTTCTGTGACATAGGTGCATATATTTAGACTGTCTAAAGCAAGTATTTCAGACTCTTGCCGCCGAACTGAACCCCGAAAGCTGAAAACACGCACTTGAACACCCGCAGACCCAATGCAAGAATCGAGAGAGAGTGGAGTTGTGCTGATGCGGGCAACGCCTGGCGGCCCCGCCTTCGGAGTGCGGAACCCACCGTTAAATAGACTTAATTAAAGCAGCACCGCTAGGTTAATCCATCAATTCTGTATTATTACAATGTTGTTTGCAACTTCATAAAAGTATTTTATTCACAACACCACTTCTAATCATGCTTTTCCCTTGTCTGTGGGGGATTGTGCGCAGCAGCAGAATCACGCTGCAACCGCCTGACAGGCAGTGCAGCCCCTGTCTTCACCATATCTGGTGAGTGTTTACCTCATTTTTCTGATATTTAAGCCTTTTGTACCAATATTTATTTTATTTTTGGCGTATACAAAATGGAAACGCCGCCTGCAGCACCTCTTCCACTCATAAATTGCTGTCTTCTACACCACTCTCTGCAGACACCATGAAAAATACAATGCACCAGCTGCATGGCAAGAAACTTAATCCACGGCCCACATTCCTGTGAGATTGCCACCCTCTTTCAGAGTGCGGAACCGGTGTAGGTGCCGAGACACATTTCGCACAGTGCTATTGCTACGATTCGTCTCAATAGTATAGTATTTCGATGCGAGTACCCAGACAGTTGGCTTGTTCGGCGACGCACCGAACCAAATGCAACTGCAATTTTCCGAATTTTCGACATGGATCCATTTTGGCTTCAATCACGGAGATTGAAATAGAAGAAACACCCTAGAGAGCTGTGCACCCGCAATGGTGAGCCTCCCCGTTCTACAGGTGTGTTTACCTGCTGCAGCTAGAGAACAGAGTCGCAATCTGAGGAGTCCTATGCTTTCGAAGAATATTGCCCTGAACTACTTGATGAATATTCAGGGCTGTATTACGCCACCACACAGGTTTGATCGTCGTAGACATAGGGCTGCTGCGGGTGTAGGATAGCATGGTGTTTTAGCTTGCAAGACTGCTGCAGCACATGTTATCTGGGTTCTCTCCTGGCCAAGCCTTGGGTGAAATGCTGAGGTTGCGTTTTACTCGATATGTGTCTCTCGTCCTTGTCGCAGCTGCGGGTCCTTCTATAGGCCAAAAACGGAAATGAATGCAGAGCTGAAGAGGCGTAATGCATTTTTTGCACGGCACACTATCTGCGCATCCAAAGATTAAACCGCAGACCGGACAGCGCTCCAACCGGAAACGCCCGTAACATACTTCTTGCACGATGTTCATTCGTCACGCCTGCCCATATCACCAATTCAACACGCTCTTTCAGACAGTGTCCATGAGGCCATCAGAAAAGAAATGGCAACAGGCAGTGCCTGTGATGGTCTCTCCTACAGCTTGTAACTTTTGCTTAATTGAAAGTTGTGATTCAGAGATAACAGAATCTGAGGAAAATCGCCAGTCAAGAACTGAAATCAGTGAGCTCTGAATTACATTTCGCACCAACGACATGCTTCCCGAAACTGTCACAGACCTCAATAGTAACCCTTCCACAAGGCAAACCCCCGCTTAGATCTTCAAGCTATAAAATGTGTCGTGCCCTCCAAGAGGATGGAGTGGGGAAGCTCATGATGCTCATGGGTTCTAGTGATGTGAGATCGTTTGCCGCTTTGGCCTTCGAAAAATGAATATGGAATCAGCCAAAGCATTCGCGCAGCACCTTAATAGCATTCCTTACATGGGCGAAGATTTGTATTAATAACAAGGACACCTGGTAAGCTCCATGAGAGTCTTTATAGGCTACAGATTTCCGTGTTCTCTGTCGAAATTTTGAATTATCATTTATCTATTCCTCCCAGCAGTAATGCTGCATTCTGGCAACCCAACTCTCGAGCCAGAAACGCTACTGTTCCCGTGAGTGGACTGGCGATACCCATTCAATAAGTTGACACAGATGCATACATCGCATGCCATTGATTTTGGCTTTTCTCAATGATGCCTGCGGTCAAAAGTTCCAGAACAAGCTTATGAAGAGAGCGGGAAAACACTCAGGAGATCCTTGCACTTGCTCGAATGCGGTGTTGGCTCCCACGCTGTGGCACTCAATGAATGGCCCTTCTGTTCCGCCTAAAAATGTAAATATTTTACTCTACAGTCGTCACCCGACTCTACAGGCGTCATGGGGCCCTAGAGTTATTGGTTCCTATTTCGTTAGCTGTTGTATCTTTCCTTGTTGCGTTTTATCTTCAACCAAGAAAGATGTAAGGGAAATGGCCTGCTGGATCATGGCCCTTGATAGACCAATATTTCAAAAAACGCTAACAGCGCATTAAATGGAGATACAAGGTCTGGCAACGAAAGGTCAGCACTTCTCGCGCCAACGTTTTGCTTCATACACGCCTATACAACGCTTCCCAGCCTAAATAGGTAGATCATGCATTCCGCGTAGCGCCTTTGTGCTGATTGTGCCTCTAGAATGTATTTTGCTGGGTAGTGGGCTACTTGCCCAAATGCCCTGTCAATAGAAGGGACACCGCTGGTCCAAGAACTACCGGAGGCCCAATTTCTGCTGAGCAGAATAAAATCTACTCATTTACAATCATAAACAAAGTGCGTCCCACTGAATTCTACATTTTGTTCGTGTAGGCTAACGTGTTTCTAAGCAGCAGTCTTTCGCACATTGTCCCTCCTATCAGCATATTCGTGCACCTGCTGATGTAAACGCTCCCTGCGGGTACCTTGAAGTATTGGAAGTCTAGGACAAAACGCAAATATCGGTTGACTAGTGGCTCTGTTTATTTAGTTGTTTATAGCTGCGTTAGTTGATCCCGATCTCAGTGGTCAATAGACGCTCTCACAACAAATACAACGTGTGAGATAGTCCATCAGCGGAAATCTTGGCCACTTCCTTAGAGCAGTCAGCCACAGCGAGTAACTTTGGGTATTAGGCAGCGTGAAATTGCTTTGCGAAAACCATCTTTCAAAGAATACAGCCAAGCGGGTACTCCTTTTGCTCGGGAGCTGTCGCCCCAGCAAAGCGAGATGCAAGAGGTCCATAGGATGAGAGGCTGCCAAGATTTTGAGTTTGGAGTTTCAAAAAACTACTGACAGGCTACTCTTGCATTTTATCAGTTGATGTGTATTTTTTTGGTGTGGCGAAAATTCGGCCTTTTGCCGCTTTCTCAACTAGTGGAGTCATTATATTTGCAAATGGTGGACGCACAAAAGGTTTTAGTAGTGAACGCTTCCCAGGTTCTGGTCGAACATTGCGCTGGCGATTCTTTAGCGCAGATGGCTACCATCAGTAGCTACCTATTTGCAGGCGCAGCCCTGTGCCTGGATGTGTCGTCGTTTCAAAACATGGTTGAGAAGCTGGTGCTATGACGCTTCTTGAGCTTGCGCCGCATGAGCCGATTGTAGGGACAAGGATTTGTGATGCCAGCCTGTGTAGTGCACAGGCACTACAATGGGGATGGCTTGTGTCCTAGAGATGATAGCTAGCTAGCGACCTACAAGGGGTCGCAACACTGGAGGAGGACAGAACCCTCCCAAAGGGGATAAAAAAATAGGAGAAACCGTCTATTAGTTCTAATGAATACGTGAAATGTGCGGAAATTGTGTGGAGACTGGGGCTGGCGAAAACGCCGGCACCAATCCGGACCTCCTCCCCATAGGGCCTAGGAGGTGAGCTCCGAGAAGGGGGCGAATCGAAGAGAAAGATTTAAAAACACTTTTAGAATTGTCGTATTTTGATCGAATGAGGCATTAGAGACCGAGAAATGGGGCTATACTAAGCGTAGTATGTAGACCTGTTAGAGGGGCAGGAGGTAGCGTAGTCGCAGCAGTAGGCGCCGCGCACTACAGCCTGTCTGTAATGGTGCGCCCATTTGTACGGCAGATCGTCAAGGCATCCACGCGAACCTGTTTTGGTGTAGAATATATGATCCATTACTTCGTAGAATATCCCTGGAGCAACTCGCACTCAAAATGCCGTCAATGTGTACACTGCCTCTTACATTTTCGCAATACCGTTCTGTATGTTGCAGGCGCCGTACGAGCCTGATAAAAGCCCTGCTCTGTGTTAATAGTCGTAATTGGCCGCATAAAGTATATCTTCTACACGATGACTGGCCGGCAGTAGATAATCCACCGAAAAGAGAGCAGTTAATTTTCGACAGTAGTCCGTCGAACAGAACTGTCCCTTGCCGGGTGTGGGTTTCTTGGTTCTGACAATCAATGCTCGCGGAGTTAGTGGTTATGGCTTCAACCCAGGACATTCACGGATTTTAAGGCTTTGAAGAGCATTTTGCTGGCATCTTCTTTCCCATTCGCGCGCTATTGTGACTAGTGGCCGTCTCTGAAGATAATTCGAATCCATATGCTCATCTACAATTCATTTTTCCGCTTTTTCAACAGAGTGTAGAAAAT